GGCGTTCCCCACGCTGCTGGCTGACATGGACAGCGCCGGCAGCCTCAACGCTCAGGCCCTGCAGCTGCTGGCCCAGCGCCTCCGCGCCAAAGCCGTCTTCCAGGTGAGCCCCGCGCCCGGGACAGCCGGGAGCGTGTCCCCGGTGTCACCTGTGTCACCTGTGTGTGTCACCTGGTGTCACCTGTGTTCCCTGGTGTCACCTGTGTCACCTGTGTGTGTCACCTGGTGTCACCTGTGTGTGTCACCTGGTGTCACCTGTGTGTGTCCCCGGTGTCACCTGTATCCCTGGTGTCACCTGTGTCACCTGTGTGTGTCCCCTGGTGTCACCTCTGTCACCGGCATGCGTGTGTCCCCATCGGTGTCACCTGTGTCACCCGCGTGTCCCCATCGATGTCACCTCCGTCACCCGCGTGTCCCCATAGATGTCACCTCTGTCACCTGCATGTCCCCTGGTGTCACCTCCATCCCATCGGTGTCACCTGTGTCCCCTGCATGTCCCCCGGTGTCACCTGTGTCCCCTGCGTGTCTCCCTGGTGTCACCTGTGTCACCTGCATGTCCCCATCGGTGTCACCTGTGTCACCCGCATGTCCCCCGGTGTCACCTCCATCCCATCGGTGTCACCTGTGTCCCCCGCGTGTCCCCATTGGTGTCACGTGTGTCCCCCGCGTGTCCCCCGGTGTCACCTCCGTCCCATCGGTGTCACCTGTGTCCCCCGCGTGTCCCCATTGGTGTCACGTGTGTCCCCCGCGTGTCCCCCGGTGTCACCTCCGTCCCATCGGTGTCACCTGTGTCCCCCGCGTGTCCCCATCGCTGTCACCTGTGTCCCCCACGTGTCCCCATCGGTGTCACCTGTGTCCCCCGCGTGTCCCCATCGCTGTCACCTGTGTCCCCCGCGTGTCCCCTGCCGCCAGACCCACCAGGCCAAGTTCGTGACGTGGCAGTTTGACGGCGAGTACCGCGGCGACGACTGCACGGCCACGCTGACCCTGGGCAACCCCGACCTGCTGGGCGGCTCCGGTGAGCGCCACACGGGGACGGTGACACCGTGGCGGTGACGCCGTGGCGGTGACGCCGCTGAGGCCGCGCTGTCCCCGCAGTGATCCTGGTGGCGCATTTCCTGCAGAGCGTCACCGCCCGCCTGGTGCTGGGCGGAGAGCTCGTCTACCACCGGCGCCCCGGCGAGGAGGGGGCCATCCTGACGCTGGCAGGGAAATACTCGGGTAGGGGACACCTCGGGGACACCTCGGGGACGCCTCGGGGACACTTTGGGGACGCCTCGGGGACACCTTGGGGACGCTGGCTCTCTGTTGCAGCCCCCAACTGGGTGACGACGCTCAACGTGGGCTACGGGGGGGCCCACGCCAGCTACTACCACCGGGCCAACGAGCAGGTGGGTGTCCCCCGTGTCCCCCGCGGCGTCCCCCGGTGTCCCCAAGCCGCCGTCACCGCGGTGTCCCCGTGCAGGTGCAGGTGGGGGTGGAGCTGGAGGCCAACACGCGGCTGCAGGAGACCACCTTCGCTTTTGGCTACCAGCTCAACCTGCCGCGAGCCAACGTCGTCTTCAGAGGTGGGCCGGGCTGCCGGTGGCTCCTGTCAGCGGCTGTCACCTCTTGGTGGCACTCAGCTGTCCCTGCTGTCCCCCTCAGGGCTCCTGGACAGTAACTGGAGCGTTGGGGGGGTCCTGGAGAAGAAGTTGCCCCCCCTGCCCGTGACGCTGGCCCTGGGCGCCTTCCTCAACCACTGGAGGAACCGGTTCCACTGCGGCTTCAGCGTCACCGTGGGCTGAGGGGACAGCGGGGACAGCGGGGACAGCGGGGACGTGGCACCGTCCTGCTCAGGGAGCCACCGGGCCGGGCCCTGCAGGTGCCACAGCGGGGACACGGCGCGCTGGGGACAGCGAGTGACAGCGCTGCGGGGGACAGGGGGGACCGCGGGGGGCTGGGGGTCCACGTTGTCACCGGTGGGGCTGGGGGTCCGCAGTGTCCCCAGTGCCACCCCATGGAGGTGGCTGCTGCCGTGGGGCTGGGGGTCCCCAGTGTCCCCAGTGGGGCTGGGGGTCCCCGTTGTCACCAGTGCCAGCTGCTGGGGGTCCCCGTTGTCACCAGTGCCACCCCATGGAGGTGGCTGATGCTGTGGGGGGGCTGGGGGTCCCCATTGTCCCCAGTGGGGCTGGGGGTCCCCGTTGTCACCAGTGCCACCCCATGGAGGTGTCTGATGCTGTGGGGGGCTGGCGGTCCCCAGTGTCCCCCGTGAGGCTGGGGGTCCCCAGTGTCCCCAGTGGGGCTGGGGGGCCCCAGTGTCACCAGTGCCAGCTGCTGGGGGTCCCCGTTGTCACCAGTGAGGCTGGGGGTCCCCAGTGTCACCAGTGCCACCCCATGGAGGTGTCTGATGCTGTGGGGGGCTGGGGGTCCCCAGTGTCCCCCGTGAGGCTGGGGGTCCCCAGTGTCCCCAGTGCCACCCCCTGGAGGTGTCTGATGCTGTGGGGGGGCTGGGGGTCCCCAGTGTACCCAGTGCCACCCCCCTGGGTGATTGTTCCCAGCACCACGGCAGCCGTGCCTCAGTTTCCCCGCAGCCACACACCGGAGAGAGCCCGGATAAATAAAGGAGCTTTACTCTGTGCCCGGTGGGGGACCTGGATGTGGGGTGACATCCGGTGACATCCGGTGACAGCCGGTGACATCGGGGGGTGGTGGCTGAGCTCAGCTGATGATCTCGGAGAGCAGCGGCGTCATGGCCGACAGGTCCTGGATGTGCAGGATCTGCCGGGTGTTCTCCACCATCAGCGTCTGCAGCTCCGTCAGCAGCAGCAGCAGCTTGGCGTACAGCAACCTTGGGGACACACGGGGGGCGCGGTGACAGTCCCCAGCGGCCCTGGGGACAGCGCCAGCGCCGAGCCCCGAGCCCCACCTGCCCTCCCTGGGGGGGTGCCGGTGCTCGGTGTAGCTCTGCAGGGTCAGGGCCAGCTTCTCCTGGAACTCGTCGATCACGTCGCGCTGGGCGATGCCGTGCTCTGGGTGGGCGTCAGGTGACATCAGCGGGGCCTTGGGGACAGCGGGATGTCCCCGTGTCCCCTCCCCTG